CTCTGCACTGCTGCCTAGTGGGTAGCTCTCATCACAGCATTCTCTTTATACTGGGCCTTGGGGAGAGAAACCTGGACACCTTTTGGAAAGTGGGATAATAATAAGGCTGCTGCCGCTAATAATGGGGTTTTTTCTACATCCCACCCAGGCACTGTTATGTCTTTATATGTTGTGTGTGTTTATAGCTTATAATTATTTATATGTTACATGCGGTCTACCTTCACAGCAGCTTGATGGATAATAGAACAATAAAGTTAACTATTATTCCCCTTCTGCAGATTAGAAAACTGACGTTGGTTAAGTGACAACTAGGTTGGTAGGATTTAGGGCTAGAAACAGTGAGAATCGTTCCTCCTGGGTCTCTGATCTCACAAAAGTTCTCAACAGCCAAGTTTCTGTCTCAACTGTTGTCTCAGGCATCAGAAGAGAAGGGGTTTATTCTTGGACAGTGCCTTCAGTTTAGTCTGATAACTGTCTGTTGTAGCGTGCGCTTGGAGCTTTACAAGAAAGAAGCCCAGGAAATGGTCCTTGCCCTCAAAGGGCTTATAGTCCAGTTCAGAGAGTTCTGCATAGTCTTAGGAAATAAATAAACAGTGCAGAGTAGTCCGGAAAGTTTCCTAGAGGAGAGGAGGAGTTGGAGTGGGTGAGGACAGCCCAGCTTGAGTCTGGAGGCTGGAGAGGGATGGGAGGGGACAGAGTGTGCATGGAGTGGAAGGTCATCATCTCGAGGCAGGCACTGCGCCCTTCCTTATTCTTTTTTCTCCTCTTTCCCCCTTTTCCGTATTTATCATTTTCTCACCAGAATCCAGGAATGTGGAGTATGAGACATAGACTCTGCACTCAGAGGGCTCACAGTCGAAGGGAGCGACTGTGTGATTAGCCTGAGTAAGGGCAGCAGCAGGGGTAGTGAGGTCTCTGCAGAGGCAGAGGTGCTGTGCCGGAGAGGGGCGGTGGGAGAGGGTGGATAAGAACCGGACCTTGAGCCCTCACCCGGAAAGCTGGGGCTTTATTCTGAGCCACAGACATGGCGAGTCTGGTTTCTGAACAGGGACTAGCATTCTGAAATCACATGGCATTGACTGTTTTTAAGAAAGAGAAATGAGGAGAGGAGAGAAGAATATAGACTTATATGCTTTGTGCCAGAAATGAGTCTCTGTTGTTAACACGTTGAACTCTTTGAAGCCAACTACAGGGAATTCTCCAACATGGCTATGCCGCTGCCTCTCTCCACCGGCAGCTGCTTCTCGAGGGATTTGGCAACGACAACTGAATTGACCTCTAGTGTCACATGGCTTCCTAGGTCTTCGTGTGGCCTCTGTGAGTTTAAGAAATTGCATAGGAACTCAAGGGACGAAGAGCTGGAGCTGGAGACAGAGCAGCCTCCTTGACTTTGGTGAGGCTGAGGGCTTCTGTCGTCCTCCTGGAGTTAAGCCTGTGCCTGACTCTTTTTCTTTTTAGCTCCTTCTCTATGAAAAAGGTCCAATGCAATCCGAAAAATGAAACGGGCAACATAAAAGGGGGAGCGGGAAGCCAAGTGAGTGCAGAAAAAGAACAGTAATGAATTACTTAACAAACTACATGCATGCAAAACTCAAAGCTCCCGGGCGATAGGTACTGACTTACAAAACATGCTTCTTAGTTGACATGAGAACTCTTCCTTGATGAATTTAACCTATGGAAACAATCATAAACGTGCAAGAATATTCCTAGGGATATCCAGTATAGCACTGTGTGTAACTGGAAAGGAAGAAAGGAGAAAGAAAGAAAGAAAGAAAGAAAGAAAGAAAGAAAGAAAGAAAGAAAGAGAAAGAAAGAAAGAAAGAGGGGAAGGAAGAAAGAGAGAGGGGAAGGAAGGAAGGAAGGAAGAAAACAAGGGAGGGAGGCCTTAGATTCCTACAAAAAGAGAACTATTTAAATCAATTGTGGTACATTTGTTAAGAAGAATTCCATGTGGCAGATGAAAAGAACTGTGATAAAGCTGTGTATTAGTTTTCTGGGGCTACCATAGCAAGTACCACAGACTGGGTGCCTTAAGCAATTTTTTTGTTTTTAACATTTTTATTGGAGTATAATTGCTTTACAGTGGTGTGTTAGTTTCTGCTTTATAACAAAGTGAATCAGCTATATACATATACATATGTTCCCATATCTCTTCCCGCTTGCGTCTCCCTCCCTCCCCCCCTCCCTATCCCACCCCTCTAGGTGGTCACAAAGCACCGAGCTGATCTCCCTGTGCTATGCGGCTGCTTCCCACTAGCTATCTATTTTACGTTTGGTAGTGTATATATGTCCATGCCTCTCTCTCACTTTGTCACAGCTTACCCTTCCCCCTCCCCATATCCTCAAGTCCATTCTCCAGTAAGTCTGTGTCTTTATTCCTGTTTTACCCCTAGGTTCTTCATGACATTTTTTTTTTCTTAAATTCCATATATATGTGTTAGCTAATCCAATATGACTGGTGTCCTTATAAGAAGAGTAAAGGACACAGACAGGTACAGAGGGAAGACCCTGTGAGGACACAAGGAGAAGGTAGCTGCAAGCCAAGGAGAGAAGCCTGAGAAGAAAGCAAACCTGTTGACACCTTGATCTTAGACTTCCAGCCTCCGGAACTATGACAAAATTGCTTAAGGCTGAGTAATATAACATATCTTCCCTCTGTACCTGTCTGTGTCCTTTACTCTTCTTATAAGGACACCAGTCATATTGGATTAGGGACCCTAATGACCTCATTTTACCTTAATTACATCTTTAAATGTCCCATCTCCAAATACAGTCATATTTTGACGTACTGGGGGTTGGGACCCCACCATATGAATTTTGGGGGAACACAATGTAGCCCATAACAAGATACACATACTCATATGGAAAGGTGTCTAGAATTGTTAAAAATAAATAAATTGAATATCAGTATAATAAGTATGATACCATTGTGAAAAAACTAGTATGTATGTAACAAACATGAATGTATGGGGACTTCCCTGAGAGTCCAGTGGTTAAGACTCCACGCTTCCAATGCAGGGGGCGCGGGTTCCATCCCTGGTTAGGGAACTAAGATCCCACGTTCCACGTGAGGCGCGGCCAAAAACAATTGAAAAATATATGCATGTATGTACACCAAAAAACATTTGGAAGGATGTGTGTCAAACATTTAGGAGTGGAAATCTGTGTGAAAGAGGTGGGCATTGCGGTGAAGGGGAGATGGCTGTGTAACAATGGATTATGGGGATTTTTTTCCCATTTATTTATTGTATGAACTTCATTTTTAATATGTTTACTTTGGGGATTAGCTTAGTGATAAAGAGCACAAATCCCTAGACTGGGGTTGTTTGACTCATGATTTGAGCACAGACTCAAATCCTAGCTTTGCCTCTTTGTAACTGCTTCTCTAAACCTCTGGGGATTTCTTTGTAATGGGGAAAATAATAATAAGATTTTTTATGACAGTCACATTACATAATGAATGTGAAACATTAGGCACAGTACTTGGCACCTACTAAGACGAATGAATGTTAGCTATTTTTATTACCGTGTTAATAAAGAAAAAAAGCTCTCACTTGCAACTTGGGGTAAAGAGGTGTGTCCTTAACCCCGGAGTGCTGTTAATTGAATCTGGTTCAGTGGAACATGTAATTGAAAGTCTGCCGTGTATGCAAGGCGCTGTGATAAAATCTGCAGAGGAGCAACTCAGGTCAATGCCTGCCTGTGAATAGCTAACAAAAGGCAGACACAGCTTTGTCTACAAAATAACCTTAACTCACAGGAGTCTTGTGACTGTCTGAGGGAGAAACACCTATAAAGCACTTAGTAAGAATTCAGTATAAGACGACCATGGCTATTGTTATTACTGTCCTCTCTTTTGTAGTAAAATCTACTTGGAAAATTAAATTTAGAAGGCAGCTCAGGAAGGACAGATTCAGGGAGATTACTTAAGGGAAGTGAAATCAAGCCATGCACATTCTGGCCTGTTTCAGCCATCTCTAGAAGCAGATAGGAATACCTGTGATGGCTGGTCACTGTGTGTGGTCTACCCGGGTGAGGGGGATGGCGGTGGGGTGGGGGTTGCTGACAGACTTCCTTTTTCTCTTTTTCTTTATCTCTTTTTTAACCTTTTATTTTATATTGGAGTAGAGCCAATTAACAACGTTGTGATGGTTTCAGGTGCACGGCAAAGCGACTCAGCCATGTGTATACATGTGTCCATTCTCCCCCAGACTCCCCTCCCATCCAGGCTGCCGCAGAACACTGAGCAGAGTTCCCTGTGCTGTACAGCGGGTGGTTGTTGGTTATCCTTTTTAAATATAGCAGTGCGGACGTGTCAATCCCAGACTCCCAATGTTCCTCTTTGGTCACCAAGCGCGTCTTTGTATATAGTTAGAGCTACTGAGACCACTGTCCCACCCTGAGAGACTGGCCTTTTCCTGGCACTTCTTCCACGCGAATGGACGCGTTCCTGCAGATTCTCGTTCCTCGCCCTGTGCCTTGGAGCACACTTTTTTCCGTGGCCCCCTGTTAGCCAGTCCTTGCTCAGGTGCACTGTGCTGGTCACCACTCAGAAGTGACAGTGACGTCCCGGCACTGGGGCTCTTCCCTCTTGGGCTCATTCACAGTCCCGGGCTCGTCATCTCCGAGTGGGGCGCGTGCCCTTCCTGCCCGCTCTGCTCCCTGTGTGCCCCCTCCTCCTCCGCATCTGCGCCTTCGGACTCCTCCGTGTAACCCTACGGGGCTGGCTTATCAAGACCCACTTGACTGAAAAATAAAAAGGATATTTGGGATAGAAAAGGGGAGCAGTTCATTCCTCCTTTCCTTTGAAGGAAGTCTTGTGGAATTGGCCTTTGAGTGAAAGAGAACGTATATATATATATATATATATATATATATATATATATATGTAGCCGTATGCGTAACTTTGCGTGAAAGAGAACGTATACGTACCCGTATGCGTAAACGCGTATATACGCATAGGCTTTGGGCCCGACGCCGGAAGTTGGGAGGGGTCCGGCCAACGGGCCGCAGGAAGAGGCCCACGGAGTCAGCGGAGGGAGAGGGACGGAAGGCGGCGCATGCAGATGGAACCCTGGTCTCCAAGGCAACAAGCGACGGGGAAGCTCAGGTGAGTGGCCGGCGGTTGGGCTCACACGCACACCTGGAGCAGGTGCGGGGCCTTGGGGAAGCCGGGCCGCGGAGCCGGCTTTCCGCTCAGGCTCCAGAGCCAAGCGTCAGGTTCAAGGCGGGTCTGCTACGAACATGTGTGACCTTGGCTCCTTATCTGTACCTGGAGGTGATAGCGGTACCTGCCTGGCAGGTTCGCCGAGTGGACTAGGTGAGATAACCTGTGAGAAGCACTCGGAATACTGAGTGCCTGGCGCTCTTCGTGTCGCCCGGTGCGCGCGGAGCGTGTGTGACGCAGGGCGCAGATAGCGGCGCGCGGCCGGCGGGGAGGGGAGGCGGCGACGGGTCACCCCCGCGGCTCCCGAGCCCCGCCGTGGCTTCCGGTCTCTCACAGCGGGTGTGACTCAGGCAGATTCTTAGGGGAAACGTCCCCCTCCCCACAAGGTCACTTTTCCAAGCCCCCAGGGTCGAGAGGGGCACCTCCTGAGCTTCAGGCATCAAGGGCCCTCTTTCTTTGTTGGATCCTGGGGGCCCGGCCGGCAGAGAAAAGTCCCTCGGCTGCTGGTGTCGCCGGATCAGAGCAGACGCCCCCCCTCGCCAGACAGGCGTTTCCCGAGAGGAGAAGGGGCCACGGCTGGCTCCCCGGGGCCTGCGTGGTGGAAATATGAAGTGAGACTTCCCTTGCACAGGGGAACCTGAGCCAACCCCGGCCCGGCTTATCTCTTTGCTCAGCGCAGTGTTTGTTTTAAGAAAATCAAAGCACGTTCCTCTTCTGCATTCTTCGAAGGGAGCGAGCTGGCTGCTGCCTGGGGAGGAGGGCTGCCGGGTGCCGAGGGGTCAGCTCACAGCTTCCCTCTTCTCGGTCCCCCTCGGGTCGTCCCTGTGCCCCTTCCTTGCGCAGCTAAGCGATGTGGCGTCATATTGCGTCAGAGGCCCCAGACTTACGGCTGTGCATCCTGCAGTCTCTCTGAATTTGGCTCTGGGAGGCGAGGCTGCCTGGAGTTCACCCACCTCTGAGGACCTCCTGGCTCCGCGGTCGCAGCCCTTCCCCTCCGTGCAGCTGTAGCCCCTCCTCCGCTCCGGGCTCTGCAACCCCAGGCTCCTCCTTGCTGGACCATCCCCCGTGACTCTAGCCTCTAGCTTCTAATTCACGAGTCTGCAGGCAGAGAGGCCTTGGCTGGACAGGAAAGTTATCCCTGCCGCCCTCCGATTTCTGCTTCTTCTCCTTTCTCCCATCCCAGACCCACTAGTGGTGGAGCGAAGGCCATGTTCTCCCTCCCCCGCTCCTGGGAGGGTCAGAACCCCTGGTTTACCCCCCACCCCCACCTCCACTGAGGGTCAGGGTTTCTTATTGGCAGCCATTGAAGGGGCTGAGACCAGCTCTCCGAGGCCCACCACTGGATTGGGAACAAACAGCTCATTGTTTGAGGTGCTTTTAGGACCACTCAGAGTCCACTGGGTCACCGGGTGCCCTGGGCCAGAACTCAGACGGTGCCTGCGTGTGAACTCTGGAAGGCCACTTGGGGCTTCGGGGAGCCGAGTCACAGCAGCAGCAGTGAATGTGGGTAACCCGGGGAGTGCTTTACAGGGTTCAGATCGCTTTTCATGGCCAGAATCTTGCAGTATAAATTGCAGTGCGCCTAGGTTTAAACTTTTTTTTTTTTTTTCATTTTAAATATGGGTATTTTCAAACACACAAAAGCAGAGAGAATAGGACAGTGAAAGCCCAGGTACCTGGTCACCCAGATTCAGAAAGCCCTGACTTTCTGCTGCTGCTGTTTCCTCAGCGCTGCCACCCCCATGCCCAGTTCTCGCCTCTCTCTTTGCAGCACTCTTCTTTAACTTGCAAACAATTGATGACTTTTAAGATGAATTTGTCACATGGCCTTCTGCCACAGTCATTATGGTTTATTATCGTGGCTTTTCTTTTCTACTCAGGAGACATGATCTGTTTTAATAGAGAGCTGAATCCAATGGCAATTTATTGTCAGCAAGAGCAGCCCAACCTCATGCCAAATGGAAAATAGTAGTTTGAGGCAGGCATTTTCCGACACCCAGTCAGACAGCATTAAATAATGATGTGACTGGCCGATTTCGCAGCTGCGTGGGGCTGGTGGGTCGGCGGGGGGCTGGCTCCTACTGGAGCCCTTTCTGATCCTCCCCCAGAAGCAGGGCCTCCCTGGGTTAGAGGCCTGTCCGCAGCCTTGCTGGTTTGGGGAGGGGGCAGCTGAGGATGCTGCCCACAATGTTATTCATCAGCCTTTTAAAAGGACTGACACCCTGATTCCTGCAAAAGGCAGCTCCTAGAAAGGGTTTATCTTTCCCAATGTCGGTATGATCTTTTTTTCTGACAATGAGAGCTAAGAACGTTATCACATTTTGCTTTTTGCCTTGGCTACCAGGAAGCTTAGCACTCAATTGAGAGCCCACATGCAGTGACTGTTTCACCTATGGTTCTAGTTAACTTATCTCCCCCAATTCTACTCTCCATTTCCGATTTCTCAATTTTGTCTTTATGTGCCTGGGGCTTAGGGGTTTTATTGTACCCACCCTTCAGTTTCACTCCTTTGAAATTAGGAGTGGTAGAAATTAAAAACAAAAGCAAACAATGCAACCTCACCTTCCCTGTGATCCTTGCCCACAGAGCCTTGTTTGTGAGAAGCCAAAGAAGTTAAAGTACTAGGCCCAGTTCACGTAGCAGGTGGTGCATACAAACACACACACACACATACATATATAAAATGCCTTTATACACACACACATACACACATACACACACACATATACATGTATATACAATGCCTTTACACTTTGTAATTTATGGTTTATACTTTATTTATTTATTTTTTTCCGGTATGCGGGCCTCTCACTGTTGTGGCCTCTCCCGTTGCGGAGCACAGGCTCTGGACGCGCAGGCTTAGCGGCCATGGCTCACAGGCCCAGCCGCTCCGCGGCATTTGGGATCCTCCCAGACCGGGGCACGAACCCATGTCCCCTGCATCGGCAGGCGGACTCTCAACCACTGCGCCACCAGGGAACCATAGGGAAGCCCTATGGTTTATACTTTTAAAAGGGCTTCCTCATCGGGAGCAAATTGTCTCAGTTTGTCCTTGATTTTATTCTTTCAACAAAGAACTCACTGCCCACTTTATCTGTGTCCTACTAGGCAGTATGGGGGGACAAATAAACGTAAAACAAACACGTGTCCTCAGGGAATTTACACTTTAATAGGGAATATCAGACATGTTCATCTAATTATAACACAAGAAATGTGGGAGTGTCTTAAATAAAGTTTTTAGGGGTTGAGAGGAGGGAGAAGTTATTTGAAGATGAACGAGGGCAGACTGTGTAGATGGTTGGCGTTTAAGTTGATTTTTTTTTTGATGTGGACCATTTTTAAAGTCTTTATGGAATTTGTTACAATATTGCTTCTGTTTTATGTTTTGGTTTTTTGGCCCTGAGGCAAGTGGGATCTTACTTAGTTCCCTGACCAGGGATCAGACCCACACCCCCTGCACTGGGAGGTGAAGCCTTAATCACTGGACCACCCCAGAAGTCCCTAAGTTGATTTTTGAAGGCGAGGGAAGGCATAGATATAGACCCTTCTGTCTTGCTATGACCTCCATGTTACAGAGGATGAAATCAGTGCAGAGAGGAAGGAAGTTTTCCCACATCACCCAGTTAGAAGTTATTACTGTTGTAACCACCCCATCTGCCTCTCCGTGTTGAAGCTGGTCCTGTGGCTTTAGGGCAACTGTAGGCTGGATTGAATTTGTTCGTAGGTGACAGTTATTTAATTCATGATATTTAAATTGTCAGAGCCCAAGCCTTGGTTTTTGGGGCAGTGCGTTTTTTTATTTGCAAGGGACAAAACATTATCTTGAGCTAACTTAGGGTAAAAAGTGGGAATGCATGGAGGCCACCAAAGTATCTCAGATCATTTAAGGAAGTGTTGAAGAACCAACTGGGGATCAGGGACAGCTGGGACCGGGCAGGACATGTCACAAGGAGCCACTCTTTGTATCTGTGGTTCTACCAGAGTGTCAGCCTACCTCCCCCCAACCTTCCTGCCCTCCCCAGCCTGTGCCCAACCTTCAGGGCTGAGCTTGAATTAGGAACTTGGGACATGGATGTCTTTTTCCCACGGATGTCTGCCCTTGCTCTGGTCTGATATAGAACTTATTCTTTGTCTGGCTCCTTTGAAAGCAATTGTATGTACCCCCTTCCTTCTGCCTGCCCTCCAATACCCCTCACAGTCCTGAAGGAGAACTGGCTTCACGTGGTTCTTAGGACAGGGCGCGGCAAGGCGGCCCCGACAGCTGGCATTTTGCATCCCCTGCTGCTATGACTTTAGGATCTGCCGTGTTCCATTTCTGGATCTCTTCAGCTCTCCTTTTGTCATTTTTTTAAATAAAAATTTTTATTTTGAGATAGCTGCAGATTTCAGGCAGTTATAAGAAATCAGAGAGAGCCCATGTGCCCTTTACCCAGTTTCCCCAATGATAACATCTTGCAAAACTGTACTGTAATATCACAACCAGGATACTGATGGTGATACAGAGCATTTGCAGCATCACTGGGTATCTTCATGCTGCCCTTTTATAGTGATTTCCCTCTCACTCTCATCCCCTCCTTAGCCCCTGGCGACTGCTAATCAATAGTTTGTTCCTCTTTGTTGTGAGTCGTATTCCATGGTATGGCCGTACTGCAGTGGGTTTCAGCATCTGGGCTGTTTTAAGTTTTTGACTAACACGAAAAACCCTGCTATAAACATTTGTGTACAGGTTTTTGTGTGAAATGTCTTTATTTCTCTGGGATAAATGCTAAGAAGTTCAGCTGTTAGATTTATGGTAGTGGCATTAAAAAAAAATTAGACATACTTAAAGAACTAGACATTTTAAAGTGCAGTATTAGGTTCACAGCAAAATTGAGCAGACAGTGCAGAGATTTCCCGTATATTCCTGGCCCTCTCGCACATGCATCCTCCCCACTATCAATGAG